TGGAAGTGTCCAGTGCCTTAACCACCATCAACTTAAATACAACCCTTAATATCTAGCAGAAATAGAATAAATTTTATCTCTGGGTAATTACTTCATTTTCGCTAACCATTTTTTCCTTTTGTACAACCAAAGTCTCTCTTTTTTAAAAATAATTATTTAATTTTATTTATTATTATTATTTTCAATCTGACTAGAGAGAGGAGAGAGAGAGAAAGTGAGAAAGCAAGTCACCGGGTCTGGGACTCAAACCATGGTTAGCCATGTGGAAGTCCAGCACCTTAACCACCACACCACCTGCCGGCCCCAGAAAAGCTGGACTCAAATCCTAGTTTTAACCGCTTAAACTTTTTAAAGAATTTTTTAATGTAATTTTATAATCATCATCATTATTATTATTTAATTTGCTATAGGGCACATGCACTCACCAGAGAGAGACAGAGAGAGGGAAAGTGAGAAAGCAAGCTGCCAGGTTCAGGGCTCCCACGGTCAGCCATGAGGAAGTCTAGCGTCCTAACCACTGTGCCACCTGCTAAACCCTACCATTTAATATTTTGAATGAATGACCTAACCTCTTTGAACTGGTTTATTTATCAAATAAATAAGTAATGATACAATTTGCCTATTATCACAGAGTTGTTGGTAAAAACTGAGAAATATTTAAATTCTTTGTAACTGATAGATACTGTGTACTAGTTGTCTTATATTCCAAGTGTCCATAAAGTCTAAAGAAATTTCAAGTTTTGGAAGTCTCTTTTGTTCAAGTTCCAGAATGGAATAAATTTTCCCTAACTTAGTATTAAAAGTAGAGGATTTATGTAAGAATTTCAAAAATATTTATTACACTATGCTCAATAAAATATATTGATAGTTTGTTAATTTTCAGAAACCTGTATTTAATAATGAAAAAACTCAGCTGGGTTCATTTGTTTCTAAATAGGTTCATCATAAATAAACTTTAACTTGATATTTGATGTAATGTTTAATTGCAGCATCCTTCAAATAGCTATGTCTATGATACAAAATAATAAGAAATGATTACCATAAATTTGTGTCATAAGAACCCCAAAACAATGTTAACTCCAACTGGAAAAATTGAAGGTTGTTTACCAGCTGGGCCTTAAATGGCCTGGTTGGCCTTTTAGTGAGCAGAGATGAGTATGGTAAATGGGGGGATTAAGAATTAGGATGCAACTTCTGGTCATGAACAACGAGGTAGAAAAGTACTGTTTATGCAGAAAATAGAAAGCTATTTGCTGGGGATCAGCAGTTAGCATAATGGCTATGTTGCTAGACTCCCACACAGTCGACCACGGTTCACATCCTGGACCCAGTGGCTTGAACTCACGCTGGGCACGCGTGCATGCCTGCCCAAGATCCCAAGAGGAGAATGGAGGAGAAGGGATTGTGGTGTGGCCATCCCCCCAGGGGGTGATTTCTCGCTTTCTGTCTCTCTGTCTCTCTTTCTGGCAAGCGCACGCGCCCTATAGCAAAAACCTCTCCAAGAAAAAGAAAAAAAAAAGAAAGAAAGAAAGCTATTTGCTGGAGCAGGGTAGTAGCCTACAGAAATAGGTTAAGGAATGAAGACTGAAAAAAATTCATTGAGGGAACCAGCAGTTAGCGTAATGGCTATGTCGCTGGACTCCCACGTAGTCGACCGCGGTTCGTGTCCCGGATCCAGTGGCTTAAAACTCACGCCGGGCGCGTGTGCGTGCGTGCCCAAGATCCCGAGAGGAGAATGGAGGAGAAGGGATTGCGGCGTGACCATCCCCCCTGGGGGGTGATTTCTCGCTTTCTGTCTCTATGTCTCTCTCTGGCTGGCTGGCAAGCACACGCGCCCTACAGTGAAAATCTCTCAAAAAAAAAAAAATTCATTGAGATAATTTATGGGATACCTTGAAAGCCTGACCAAGATGTCTGGACTTGTACCTATGGATGAAATACATTTTCTCTCTAATGTTTAATTACTATGAAAAAATATTCTTTGGGTTTTTACTTAAGGAGCTTTGTTTTTAGAAAATACTTTCAACATCTCATCTGATGGCCTTTGGACTTTGTCAAGCTGCAAGAAATGTAAAAAAAAAGAAAAAAAAGAAAAAAAACACAAGCATATGAAAAACAGGACATAAAACTCTATGCTTGAGAGGTTAACACCAGATTCCTTCATCCACACGTAATTCCAAATTAGTCAAGGATCATTTACTAGTTCAACAAAATGTTCTGAGTGTTTGCTATATACTAGTAATATACTAAGCATAGGGAACTGAAACTGTTTCGTCTTTGAGGAGTCTAAAGGAGAAAACATGTACAAATGGTATGATTATGGAAGTACAAGATATACAAACTGTTATAAGGAAGAAGCAATGAATTATTCTATTGGAGTGGGTGTGGAGTGCTGATGTTTGAGTTAGATTTTGAAAAAGAAAATAAAGTTCACAAGAAGTAGTACAAGTGTGTTCCAGAAAAAGGGAGTAGCATGGGGCTAGAGGTGTGGCAATATAATGTCAGACGTCCATCCACTCCTCACACTCCACTCTACAACCATCCATAGTCTTGGGTTTAAAGCAACATTCACACTCAGGGGACAACCTGGCTCCAGGTTTACTTTATAGAAAAATATAGCACAGGAAACAGCATTTCCACAATAATTTCAAGGGTAGCATATCTTCATGTGGAGTCTGTAATGTTGACTGATTTCTCCAGCCCCTAAAACAGATGCACTCAGTTGTAACAGGAGAGACCACCTGGGTGAATGCAGGCCATAGCAGCAGGAGAAAGCCTCATATCTGTTAATAGTGTGGGGGCAAGGTTTCCAACTTCAACCAGGACCTGCCAGTTTCAAGAGATCACAGAAGGAAGTCCTCGATGCATGAATGAATAATTTCATATAGTTAAAATGTAGAGGACAATGAAAGATGAAAATAGAATATAGGTTACAAGATTAAGACAGTCTCTGTATGACAAATCTAGACCTCTTTTACCTCCTGACTAAAAATAAAATATCTGGAGACCAGCAGGTGGTGTAAGGGACCACGGTTCGAGTCCCAGACCCAGGGGCTTAAACTCACTCCAGGCACATGTGTGTTCATGCTTAAAATCCCAAGAAAATGGAGAAGGGATTGTGGCATGGCTATTCCTCCTTGAGGGGTGATTTCTCACTTTCTGTCTCTCCTTGTCTCTCCGACAAATGCATGAAGGCTATAGCAAAAAACCTCTCTTAAAAAACAAAACAAAACAAAACAAAGATCTGGGGTGACCCAGCTCATTGTAGTTAAAGGAGCCAGATCCCACTAGGCCAACCTTGCAGCTTGAGCCCCAGACCTGTCAGCATGAAAAAATAGTCCATATTTGTGTGTGTGCATCCCAAATCCCAACAGGATGGAGAAATGAAGGGATAGTGGTCTGACCATGCCACACTGGGGGATGTCTTCTCTTCCTCTGTCTCTCTGGTGAGTACGCATGCCTTCTGGCAAATAAAAAATAATAATAATGTGATTTTTAAGAGAAAACTGTTCTAAGGGGGTTTTTTAAATTATTTATTTAATTTTATTTATTCATTCATTTTAATTTGACCAGAGAGAGATACACAGAGAGAGAGGGGGAAAGTGAGAAAGCAAACCACCAGGTCTGGTACTCGAACCGTGGTTGGCCATGTGGGAGTGTCCAGCACCTTAACCACCATGCCACCTGCTGGTTCCTGTTCTAAGTTTTCTAACTAGGACTTGTAAATCCTAGTTAAGTAATTTTAAAAGATTTAAAAAAAAAAAAAAAAAAAGCCTTCCTTTTATTTTAAATTTCAAGAGTTCTAAGTTAAAAACAGTTATCTTCTCTAGAAAGGCTCTGTCCATTAGTGCTCACTGCCTTTCTACCTACTCATTCACATACACACGAGTGCATGTACATATAACCTCTAGGCCAAGCTCACTTCTGTGCCCCCAAAGAAACCCTACAACTGCTCAGACCAGTAGATGGCATAGTGGTTACGTCACTGGATTCCCACATAGTCCACCATGGTTCAAGTCCTGCACTGGGCAGCTTGAAACTCACGCCAGGCGCTTGTGCGTGTGTGCCCAAAATCCTCAGAGAATAGACTGCGGCATGGCCATCCCCCAGGGGAGTGATTTCTAGCTTTCTGTCTCTGTGTCTCTGGTGAGCACATGCACCCTATAGCAAAAATCTCTCAAAAAAAGAAAAGAAAAAGAAAGAAAAGAAACTCTACAATTGCTCTTACCAGAGAATATTAGTTGTTTGAATGCCCATAAAGGACTCAGGAATAAGAGCTCTGGTTCATTTTTCTGTGCCTACCACATGTAGCAGTAAATGCTTTAAAAAAAAAAAAAAGCTGTGCCTGAACTAAAATGATACATATGTCATATGCTTTTGCTAAAAATATGAAGAAAAATTAACTTAAACATTGATTGTATAATATTCACTGAGCATCAAGACTGGAAGTTCGTCTCTAACAGCGACTCATACTTAAGAAAAAAATTACACTTCAATTTAATGAATTGGAATATGTTTAATATAAAATATTGGTATCCTCAAAGCATTATTTCCACATGAATTTAGGAAAATGAATTTTAAATAATCTTCAAAACATGATAAAGGGCAGTGGTATCTTTTAAAGACATATAAACAAAAATGTTAAGAATTCACAGATGTGTTACATACTTGCTTTCCCAAAATTAGATAGTATAAAACAAGCCACCTAAAAAAGTACCCTCCCACCACAAAAGACACAAATGGGAATGAAATATGTAATTATAACTATCTCTATATGAAATCTCCAAAAGATAATATCTTTATCAATATAAAGATGGTGATAAGATGAACAAAAACTAGGGATAGAGGCTTAACTGACATCCTCAAATTCACATGATTTGAAATAAAATGTTCAAACTTTTTAGCTTTATCTTAAATTGCCTTTGCCTCACTGTTGTACACACAGTTACTCCATAAATCCAAAAGATGCTAACAAGAGAAGATTGAAATAATATTCTTAAAAACACTTTTCTCATCTGAGAAAATACAGTATAACCACGTCTCCCTCAAAATATTCCTGATAACATTAGAAGGTCTGAAGTATTTAATCGCATATAATACCACCATCATCACATGAATTCAGTAGAACTGTTACCTGAATATTTAATTAAAAAGTTAAGCCCAATGAGGATCAAAGGTCTCTAAAAACTACAATTTAAAAATATAAAAGCAATGAGATAATCTGGCTTTGCAGATGAATACTGGGTAAACTGAGCTACAAAATTATATACTTTGCTCTAATAATAAATAGGACTTTGAGGGGTTTTTTCTTGTTAAAGTTATGAAGAACCCAATTTTCTCTTCTTGACTTACAGAAACTGTGTACATATATATTCTTAGATAATGTAAATGTGAATATTTATACAGATATACCTCAAATAAACTAAGTTGAGCTACATGTATCATTTTTAAAAATCTATTTCAGACAGCTAAAGTCTTTTCCCAAATTTTACCCTGAACAAATAAACTAAATTCTCAAATCCCTCATAAGACATTAAAAGAAGTTGGAAAAAAAAAAAAGTGAGCGAGTAACTACATTTAGCAATTGAAAACAATAAGCTGCTCTTTGAAAGAGTACATTTTTATCATTTTCCTAACATTGTCTTTTTTTACATATACAGAAGGGATGCCGTAAATGGCATTTTCTGAAGCCTTGATACTAAATTCGTTTTTAAAAAAAAAAATACACAGTATTCATACTGCATGCTTGAGCTGCAAAGAATAGAATTACAATGTGACATGACTTGTCAACAAATTTGACAAGCATTGGGGCTGGCACCAGCAAGGACCCAACTCCCCTCAACACCCAGTCATGTGGAAGTACAGATCACATAGTTTTATTATCTATAAAAACATTCCCACATTACATATGCCATTGCATAATCCAAGCATATTTACTCAAAAAAATATCAACTATTTAAGAAATTTTCATTTCTGTCCAATAAGTTTAACCATATTGCCCCCATTTCACTCCACCTATGGGATCTGAACAATTCTAATAATAGATCTTATATATTTTAAATAATGTTCAATGACTCATAAAACTACTGTAAGTTATTTTCTTCTCTGTGAGCTGGCTAACACAAATGCTGGTAAGCGGCTTTCCAGTAATCTTAGAGAACATCTGTGTCGTGTCTGTGCAGATTAACTAGCTGCTGCTGCCCTTCTGTTGCTGTAAATGAAGTTTCAAAATGAGCTCTCGAATATCTTCCCGTTTGGTCTTTATTACATGACGAGGAAACCATTTCTCCAAATGAATTGGAAGTTCAAAGTTAACAATAGGATCCTAATAAGAGAAAAGAAAATAATGTAATCATTTTAGTGTATAATTTCAAATTTAGTTTAATTTTTACCAGATATCAGAAATTTCTAACTTCTAAAAAAAAAAACCCAGCTTTATTGTATATAATTCACATAGTATAAAATTCATCTTAAGTATAAGAGTTGTGTAACCTTCATCACAATCAATTATAGAATTTCTGAACTATATGCTAATTTCTGAACATCAAAATTAAATACCATCTGTTCTGCTACAATGCATGTTTAAGCTAACTAGCACAAACAGAATTGGTAAATAGAAAACAATTTAGAAAAACACAGAAGTCAGGTTGGTCTGAACATGATTTTTCCCAACATGCTAATTTTTAAAAGAATTATTTTATTTTATTTACTATTTTTTAATTTGACCAGAGAAAGAGAGAGAGGGAAAGTGATAAAACAAGCCATCAGGTCTAGGACTTGCACTGCCGTCAGCAATGTGAAAGTCCAGTGCTTAACTACCTTACCACCTGCCAGTCCCCCAACATGTTGATATTTTGAAACTATAAAACAAAGAGAAAATTGGGACCAGCAGATGGCATAATGGTTACGTTGCTGGACTCCCACATAGTAGACCACAGTTCAAGTCCCGGACCCAGCGGCTTAAAACTCACATTGGCGCATGTGCGTGCATGTGTGCCCAAAATCCCAAGAGGAGAATGGAGGAGAAGGGATTATGGCATAGTCATCCCCTCCCCCACAGGGATGGGGTGGTTTCTTGCTTTCATTCTCTGTCTCTCCCATGAGCACACGTGCCCCTATAGTAAAAATTTCTCTAAAACAAAAAAACAAAGATAAAGTCTTGGTAGTAAATAGAGAATCTCTGATTTTAAAAAGTAGAAGAACCTGCAAAAGTGCTTTCTTTTAGTGCAAGAAATAACTGATTTAATGGCTTTAAGAACTGCTGCATTTTCTGTTGTGTTAAGCTTAAGTGGGAAACTGTACGTTGCAACTACAAATATGTATTTTCCCATGTGTTTAAAAAAAAAATACCTGCTGAAGAAGGTATGCCTACAGGAACCAGCAGTTAGCGTAATGGTTATGTCGCTGGACTCCCACGTAGTCAACCGCGGTTTGAGTCCCCGACCCAGTGGCTTAAACTCACGCCAGGCGCGTGTGCATGCGTGCCCAAGATCCTGAGAGGAGAATGGAGGAGAAGGGACTGTGGCGTGGCCATTCCCCCTGGGGGGTGATTTCTCACTTTCTGTCTCTCTGTCTCTCTCCGTCTGTCTGGTGAGCGCACGTACCCTATAGCAAAAACTTCTCAAAAAAAAAAAAGAAAAGAAAAAAAAAAAAAAGGTATGCCTACAAATTTGATTAAATTACTAGAAGCCAAAAGTAAGAAAGATTTACATCTTGAAAAAGGAATCAAGAGCCCCAGGTATAAGGCTGAAGGCATATAACTGCTTGTAAAACTAAGCACAAACACCAGTGGAGACTTAATATACTAATATTTTTGTTATAATTAACATTTTTTTTGGTTAGGGTTGAGTTACCAAATTCCATAGCTTTTGAATACTCTGCTACAAGCTTTTTTTAAGTTGTTATAGGGCGCATGCACTCACCAGAGACCGGGGGTCGGGGGTGGGATAATGAGGACTCACCCCGGAAGGGGGTTGGCCATATTATAATCCCTTCCCCTTCATTCTCCTCTCCAAATACTTTTAAAAATTTTTTTATCTGTTAACTCCAGTATTTGGATCATCTGTGGTTTTATTTTTCTTATATATGTCCTATAACATTTCCTGCCTCTTTCCTTTCCCAGTAACCTATGATTGTATACTGCTAATTATGGGGTGAAAAAAAAAAAAACCCTTATTTATATCTTCACATACCTTGAAGAAGCTTTCCACATATTGCAGTAAATATACTCCACAATCACTGCTATTATCCTGTTTAGGAACTTTAGGACATAGGTCCACCATGTTTGTTTTGCTGAATTCACGACGAGTTTTTCTCTTAACTTCCCATTCTACCTCCAAATACCTAAAATGAGCAATAAAGTAGAGTGACTCAAGTAGAAATATTTTTATCAGTATGCAACCTTTCATAAACAGGGAAAACATCTGCTACCAGATGTTTTATCAAGCCAGATTTTCAAAGACTAAACTGTAACAGTGCGAACAACATTTTGTGAGTCTTAACAAGTTCTACCTTAAGGAAAACAATGTGATTTTTCAAAGCAAAAGCTAGACTTTTCAGCTCAAGGTTCACAACTCAAATAGATTTAGTCACGTATCTTACAAAGTAAACTAATAAGTGATTTGAAAAGTTCATTCCTATATTTTTCCAGATCCTACAGTAAATTACAAAATTTACACACACACAACATACAAACACAAAAGACAAGTATGAAAGAGTCATTTTTTTCTTTCTTTTTTCTTTTTTTTTTAAGAGAGCTATTTGCTAAAAGGCATGTGCGCTTGCCAGAGAAAGTGAGAAATCACCCCCCCCCCAGAGGGGATGGCCACACCGCAATCCCTTCTCCTCCATTTGCCTCTCAAGATTTTGGGTACACACACCCAGCGTGAGTTTTAAGCCACTGGGTCCAGGACTCAAATCACCGTCAACTAGGTGGGGGTCCAAAGACGTAACCTCTACAACATCTGCTGGCCCCAAGTAATTTTTTTTCTAAACTGGCTCTTTTGTAATCACTTTATTTGTAATATGCCTTTGTAAAATTATTTTTCAATCATGAATACAAATTCTGAATTTACTTTTGGTACAATCCTTGACACATATTAATACTTGAATGCTAACACATAATAGGGGATACACATTATTAATTAGATTTGCAGGCCTCATTTAAATACATAATAAAATACTATTTCTAATATAGTATTTTCAGCAATTTTTTTTAAGTTTCATTTTTCAATTTATTTCATCCATGAGTAAGAAAGACAGAGACACACAGATGGACAGAAAGACAGACAATACCCTAACAGTCCCAATGCTGCAATCTACCTTCAGTCTTCAGCCAGACCTAGATCATAGGTAACTGTGTGCCCAGCGTCCTCCAGGAGTTCTTTAGACTTGAACTAGGAATCTTCTCATGTGGGATTGCCCCTCAGAGCACTGCTGTGCCACTGTCCAACTCCATTTTTAATAATTCTTAAGGTAGCTTCAAAATTACTTAAAATTTTTGGTAATAGACTGAATGGTAAAACTGTTATTACTTACTCTCGTAAATTCTGAACTGTGTTTTGTATAGAAGCGGCTTTCAAGGAGTCTAGTATGAGAATACATGGCCTATAAAAAGCAAAGGAAGAAATTAAGATGAACATACTTGTAAATGAAATAACCTAAATATCTGGGAAAACTGTACTATTATTATTATTGTCATCATCATCAAAGGTACCTACCTTTTACACATTTTCTTTGGTACTGACACATTCATCTCGGTATTCTGAAATAACATGAATTTTTATGACTGCAATTAAAGCTAGTTTGAATAAATTAATATCCAGCTACTCCTTAAAGTATTTTAAACAACTTTTAAATTAAAATGTCAAGTGAGTTCATCAACTGAAGAGAGCTAATTCATTTTTCAAAAAATCACTGATTTATTTTCTTATACTGGTAGAACAGTAATTTATACACTTTTACATTTGGTCTCAAATAGTTATGGAGTTTAATCTGGCCTAAAAAACAATCTGGAATTTTAATTACTTCTATTTAGTTATACTCTTAAGCAAAGATAAATAAATTAATTTAACCTGGTTTACATCATATATTCTCTAAGTCAATTTATGATGTCAGTAGAGACACATTTTCTTCCCTCTGAAACACGAAAAGCAGAGTATTAATCTGTATTAAGAGGAAAAGGATGGGGAATTTTTTTTCTTGATGTTTGTTTTTATTCATAAATTTGAGAAATAATAGATCAAACTTAAACAGATTTTTTTAATGCAGACCTTCTTATTACATTTATTATTCTAAAATATGCAGGGAACATCTAAGAGAGAAATTGTACCAGGGTCTGCCCAACTTAGCTAACCTTAGAATCCTTTTTATCATAACTGTGTCTTAGAAGTAGTTGGGGCCAGTGCTAGCAGATGGCACGTTGGTTAATGAACTGGACTCCCACACAGCTGACCACGGCTCGAGCCCCATACCTAGTGGCTTGCTTACTCACCTTCCCTTTCTCTCTCTCTCTGTTGCTCTCTGGTCAAATAAATAATAATAATAACGAAGGAAATTAATTTAAATTTTATAAAAAAGTAGCTGGGGCCAGCAGATGGTGAGTGGTTATGTCACTGGACTCCCACATGGCCAACCACGGTTCAAGTACTGGACCCAGTGGCTTGAAAATCACCCTGGCATGTGTGTGTGCATGCCCAACATCCCAGAAAGAAAATGGAGGAGATGGGACTGTGGCATGGTCATAACCCTGGGAAGTGATTTCTCACTTTTCTTCTCACTGTCTCTATCTCTCCTCAGCAAGCATACACACCCTAAGGCAAAAACCTCTAAAAAAAAAAAAGAAAAAGAAAAAGAAAAAAGAAGTAGTGCTCCAATTTAAGAAATCTGACCCTCAAAGCAAGATGGAACTCTCCTATACTGCCCTTGTGACAGCAGAAAACATCATCCTTCTGCCAACTCTGTATGGGCAATAGTAAAGACACCAGCCTTTACTAAGGAGGCTACTGGTGTCAATACATACAAAAAATGCATTAGGAGGCTATTTTAATTAACTATACGAATTAATTAATCTATACTGCACATACTAGTTTTTGCTGCATAATTATTTATACGAATTAACTGTACTACACATACTAGTTTGGAGCCCCACAAAGTTAATATTTACTATTTTAGCCTAAAGATTCACGTGAGTTGACCTTATGTCTACCTTGAATAATTTTTACCAATTAACAATAAAGAGTAGAATATAAAATGTGCTTGCTGGAAACCAGTTGATGGCATAATGGTTATACCACTGGACTCCCAAGTAGTCAACTGCAGTTTGAGTCCTGGACCCAACTGCTTAAAAAAAAAAAAAAAAAAAACACGCCAGGGGCATGTGCACGCATGCCCAAAATCCTGAGAGAAGAGTGGAGGAGAAGGGATCATAGCATGGCCATCCCCACAGAGGATGATTTCTTTTTTTTTTTTTTAAGAGGCTTTTGCTATAGGGCGCATACGCTCACCAGACAGAGACAGGCAGAGACAGAGAGCAGGAAATCACCCCCAAGGGGGGATGGCCACACCGCAATCCCTTCTCCTCCATTCTCCTCTCAGGATCTTGGGCACGCACACACACACGCACCCAGCGTGAGTTTAAGCCACCAGGTCCGGGACTCGAACCGTGGTCAACTACGTGGGAGCCCAGTGACAACCATTACACTAACTGCTGGTCCCCCTGGTGTGAGTTTTAAGCCACTGGGTCCAGGACACGAACCACGGTCAACTATGTGGGAGTCCAGCAACATAGCTATTCCACTAACTGTTGGTCCCCCCAGAAGATGACTTCTCACTTTCTGTCTATGTCTCTCTGGCGAGCCCACACACCCTATAGCAAAATCTCTCTCAAAAAAAAAAAAAAGTACCTGCTGCAATTATTATTAATTTCACAAAGATTAAAATATTAGATATAGAATAAAAGTAAGTCTGATTCTTAGGAATTAGAAAAATAGTTAACTGAAATGAACATGACATAAACAACTAAATAATGGAACCTAGGATTTAAAGCACACTAAACAAATACCCCAAAAAACCTCCTCTTTTTCTTTTTCCCAGCCCCACAAAAATGTTGAAAAATTATGAAGCAGTAAAATCTAATAATGGGCCACTAATAATCTATGGCAGCCTAGCTAGCTATGCCCTGTTTTATATTTAACATTATTTTATTCATGCCTTTTCTTCTTTCACATCTGAAAAGAACACACTTACTTGAGAATCCTCTGCACTTGAGGATAGTGCTGAAGTAGTATGTAGATCATTATCTAGTTAGAAATGATGAAACAATTATGAGCCTTTATTATATGTTTACTACAGACAATTTAGATAAGCTTATATTGTAATCTGTATGCACAGCAGAAGTTAAACAAAAATGATACCTGGCTCTACTTCATTTTTTTCATAGTTAATGTTATTGATGATATTCAATCAGTGGATACAACTGACAATGATTGGCTGTTAACAAGCAACAAATAAATCCCATAGTTCAAATCTGAAATACCAGTTAGCTATAAAAACTTCCTATTAAAAAGGAAACTTCAGGGAACCAGCAGTTAGCGTAATGGCTATGTCGCTGGACTCCCACGTAGTCGACCGCAGGTCGTGTCCCGGACCCGGTGGCTTAAAACTCACGCTGGGCGCGTGTGCGTGCGTGCCCAAGATCCCGAGAGGAGAATGGAGGAGAGGGGATTGCGGCGTGACCATCCCCCCTAGGGGGGTGATTTCTCGCTTTCTGTCTCTATGTCTCTGTCTGTCTGGCGAGTACACACGCCCTACAGTGAAAATCTCTCAAAAAAAAAAAAAAAGGAAACTTCGAAGATAATTAAAATTTCAAGTCAGTCCTGTAATGCAGTGGTTAAGCTCTGTGCTCTGGGAGTCAGATCTCATAGGACAATTGCGGTTCAAGCTCCAATCCTGATGGATGGATAGAAAAGCACATCAAGTACATGTGTATGCATGCCCTACATCCTGAAGGGATAGAGAAATGGAGAAAAAAGGATTGCAGCATGACTGTGCTTCACTATGAGGCGCTCAGGCACACTGTCTCTGGCGAGCACCTACACCCTCTGGCAAAAAAAATGATAATCAATGTGTGCTGTTTTAATGTAAAGGGTAGTTAATCTGTCTAGTAATAATTCTAATTATGACCATAGAATTCTGTAGTCATAAGTACGGTTTTAAAGCTCAAAAGGATTAGAGAAAACTGAAAATAAATAAAAGAATTGCTTTATCAATCTTTCTTCCTTTCACTTCCACTAGGTTTTAGCCTATATTGAAGGTAATAGCCAATATTAATCCTATTTGCTGCTTAAGCTGCAACCATAAGCACATAACTTTTATTTTTTTCCTCAAAGAAAGTAGGCTTATTTGTTAACTTTATTAAAATTTTGGGCTGCAACATTAGAAAAAAGAAAAATGGGGGCCAGCAGATGGTGTAACGGTTAGGTCACTGGAATCTCATACAGTCGACCAAAGTTCGAGTCCCAAACCCGGTGGCTTAAAACTTACGCTGGATGCCTGTGCATGCATGCCCAAGATCCTTAGAGGAGAATGGAGGAGAAGGGACTGCAGTGTTACCATCCCTCCGGGGTGGGGGGGATTTCTCCCTATCTGTCTCTCTCGGTCTCTCTTGCAAGCGCACGCACCCTATAGCAAAATTCTCTCTCAAAGAAAAAATAAAGAAAGAAAAACGAAGAAGTTATAAGAGACCCACAATATCTAGCCAAATTACTCATCTATAAGAAATATGTTAATTATATTAAGAAAAACAAACAAAGGATTTCAAACTATGCCTGAAGAGCCACTGAACAAATTCTTAGTCAATTTAACAAGGCATTCCACTAAAAAAGAAAATCCTATAACTAAACCTGATATAAGAGTATAACTTAAGAACTAAATTTTACTTTTATATGAGACTGGGTGTGATGAAAACTTAGATTTCTTATTCTTCCTTCTAGTAAGTTTAATGATAATAAATAACTATACTTACTACCTTTAACTTCAAATTGTTCCCCACAACCATTTTGCTATTATCATCGTCATTATTAAAAGCACTATCTACATCCAGATGTCACCTATTGTTTTGTTGTCAGGTTGGGATTGCTGGGTCTGGGTCTGAGACTGCTGGGAGACCGTTTGTGGAAAATCTTCATACACAGCTTCTTCCAACCACGGAAAACAAATGACTGCAAGATACCAGTGAGACCTGTTGAAAATAAAACATCAGTAAAAACAAGAGAAAGAACTGTTCAACTGGCATGACATGGTGACTTGTGAATCCTGAGACCAGAGGAAACTTGTAAATTCTATGCTGAAAGCAAAAAAAAAAAGTCATTTATGATGGTGACAGAGAGCGGCGCCAAGCCCTAAGTCTCGGTCAGTCTCACAAAATAGAGGCCAACCCAAAAGGGGGAAACTGTTAAATGAAGCTATTGAATATTTGGCCTAAAACAGCCTCTATACTCACACTGTTGGGCTCTTATTTACAAACCACAACCTCACTTGGAAGTCTGTTTCCTTAGTGAAGTGCCTGAATTACAACCAATCACAGCAGCTACACTTCAGTCAATCACAGAAAGCCCACACTTTACACTGTTAATGCAGGCAAACCTCAAGCTGTAACCAATTCTTTCATTTCTTGACCTCATTTCCTTACTTTTGATTTCTGTAAAAGACTTTCTTCTTATGCATAAGTGTCACCCCACTGTGTAGTATCTGGAGTTCCTTAGAAGCCAATCTGAGGGCCCAATAAGAATCATTTTTGCTCAATTAAATGGTGCTAAATTTTCAGAAAAAAAAAAAGAACTCCAATTTTAATAATGTGCACAATGTACAACAGAAAAATATGTTCTAGAGCTACATCTGCGAGAGTGGGTATAACAAGCTTCATAATAATTTTAAATATCTTTAGGTATCTATTGTACTATCTGATATATTAGAGAGTACACATTCCAAAACTAATCAAATATCCAAAGTTATCAAGGCATTAAGTAATACCACTTAGGATAAAATCTGAGTAATTCAGATCTATTTACTCTCTTGCAATCAATGTGTCTACCGAAGATCTATTTTATGAAATAAACCAACGGACTTACACCATTATCTTTTTTGCATGAGTGCTTAAAGAGTTTGTTGTCTTAAATATTTGAAGATTCACCCTAAAATCTTTTTATTTTTGTTTAGAAGATTTTGTTCTTGAATCTAAAAAGTAAAAAATTAAATGCCTAAATTATACCATGTGGTCATTTGTTATTTTACTTTTTCACTACATTTACAACATAACTACTGTCAAACCAAAGTCCAAGATAAGTAAAAACTGTTTTAACTACTTTTACAGAAAAGAATTTAAAGTAATAGCTGGGATTTATGTACTCATACTTTTTATTAATTATTATTCTGGAAAATATATTTTTTCCTGATATCTCTCCAACTGTTTTTTTAAATAATTCAAAATACTCACGACTCATTTACAGGTACAAAGATGTAATCTTTATTAAAAATGTTTATGTGACGAGTCCATGTTCTTACTCTTTTATGTCTTCTCTGTGCCATTCTAGGAATATAAAAAATAGATATATTTGATATATTAAAAAAATTAAAGACTTCAAAAGTCATTTTTATATACAGAAAGATGCTGGGTTCCATTTAAACATCTTCAAGAAATATAATACTTAATGTACTACAAATATATCCCCTTTTATTAACTTCTGGTTGTAATTAAATTTGATGATCTATAAAAAACAATGACATGGACAGAATAAAGGACACAGTTCATTGAATGCTTTGCAGATTCCAAAAGTGGCTCAAAAATTAGATATAAACACAGCTAAACTAGTTAGTCTGATTGGGTATGTTTGTGTGTGCCCATATCCGGACTAGACAAAGAAATGGAGGAAAAAAGGACTACAGTGTGACCATGCCTTGTATCCCTCTCTCTCTCAATCTGACAAATAGACATGATCACTGGCGATTAAAAAAGTAAAAAAAAAAAAAAAATGGGGACAGCAGGTGGCATGATGGTTAAGGCACTGGACTCCCACATGGCCAACCACAGTTTGAGTCCTAAACCTGGTGGCTTGAAACTCATGCAAGGCACACATGTATGCATGCCCAAAATCCCCAAAGGAAAATTGAGGAGAAGGGACTATGGCATGGCCATCCTCCAGTGGGAAGAGAGGGGAGAGCGATGGCAGAGCGGGGAGAGTGATGTCTCACTTTCCCTCTCTATGTTTCTCTCGGTCTGTCTCTGGTGAGCACACACCCTGCATGGCAAAAACCTTTAAAAAAGAAAAAGGAAGAAAAGAAGGAAAGGAAAGGAAAAAGAAAAGGAAAAGGATAAGGAAAAGGAAAAGGAAAGGGAGAAACAAAACAAGGTGGGTGGGCAGGTGGTGCAGTGGTTAAGGCAGTTTAATTCCCACAAGTCTGACCACAGTTCGAATCCCAGACCTGGCAGCTTGCTTTCTCATTTTCCTTCTCTCTGTCTCTCTCTGGTAAACTTCAAAAATAAAATAAAATAATGAAAACGAATGAATTTTTAAAAAAGAAAGAAAATAAAGAGGAGAAATAATGCTTTTATTCTTAGATCTTAAAACACAAAACTCATCTCCCTTTATTGTATGTATTAAGAAACTACAGAACTATAGAAGAAGGTTAAGTGTACCCCAACATTAATATTTCTTTCTTTCCTTCAACAAATACTATTCCTAAGAATGAGTAATGAAAATCAACTACTGCCTTGAAAGAATTTATAATCTAATGAACATAGAAAAAATCTACAACACCTAAAATATAAGTATCATAATGGATACAAAGGAATTATGCTAAAGCATCTAGGATAGCCATCTAGAGAGGGTTAACACACACACACACACACACACACACACACACACACTTTTTTACCTTTACCTAATCTGGAGAATTATGAGAGGAAGATATCAAATTGGCTGATCGCAGTTCAAGTCCCAGACCCAGTGGCTTGAAAAACATGCCAGGCATGTCCATGTGCATGCCCAAAATCCCAAGAGGAGGATGGAGGAGAAGGGATTGTGGTGGGGCATCATCCCTGAGGGGTGATTTCTTGCATTTTGTCTTTCTGTCTCTCTGGCAAGCACACATGCCCTATAGCAAAAATCTCTCTCAAAAAATAATACGTTCTGGGAACCAGCAGTTAGCATAATGACTGTCGCTGGACTCCCACGTGGTCGACTGCGGTTCACGTCCCGGACCCGGTGGCATAAAACTCACGCCAGGCACGTGTGCGTGCGTGCCCAAGATCCCGAGAGGAGAATGGAGGAGAAGGGATTGCAGCATGACCATCCCCCCTGGGGGGTGATTTCTCACTTTCTGCCTCTATGTCTCTCTCTGTCTGTCTGGCGAGCGCACACGCCCTATAGTGAAAACCTCTCAAAAAAATAAATAAATAAATAATTAAAATAATACATTCTGGGAGGAAAGTGGTATTTAACTAGAACATAAAGGAGATAATGTGTGATATCTGACTCATTCTTTTAGAAGAAATTTTTTTTTTTATGCAGGGGAGAAAACAAACCCTTAAATTCTTACATACTCATATACAAAGTAATAGGGAAAAAAATTTTTATTCTATCTTTGCTCACCTTAATAATACCTAACCAAATCCACATGTGGTAAATATTAGTAGTCAGATAGGATCTAAATGAATTAAAAGATGTGATAACGACTCGACACAATATGAAAAATTAACTACATAAAATAATCAGGAGTCACATGCTTATTAAATTTTCTCATTAAAAAAGGATTCAGCCAGTGTGGGAGGAGGGATCCTTTGACCTTCAAGAACCACTTTCTGGTTCCTACAATACAAAAGAAAGAATAAGCAACTGGGATGCCCAAGCCAAGCCACTCAGCTGGAGCTAATCAGCAAAGACCCTGGCCCAGTCTGCTGCAGGGGAGGAGGGGCTCTCCAGTCTTCAAGAACCAAGACCTAGTTCCTGCGATCCCAGAGAAAAAAGGAACAACAGGGTGGCCCTGCAGTCCCAGAGATAGAAGGTAGGATCTGCTACGCTATGTGTGCTGATGCCATTCTGTCCCTTACCCAACCAGAACTAACAGGCACGCCCAAACCCAGCCACTCAATTGGAGCTCATCAGCAGGGACCCCCACTCAGCCTGCTGTGAGGGAGGAGTCTCCCGTCTACCACCTTACCTTCTACCTGTCAGCTCAACCTCCATCCACATTGGGAGCAGTTAGGTCTGGGCATACAAGAACCAAACCTGGGACCAGCAGTTAGTGTAACGGCTATGTCGCTGGACTCCCATGTGGTCGACAGTGGTTCGCATCCCAGACCTGGTGGCTTAAAACTCACGCCCGGTGCGTGTGCATGCGTGCCCAAGATCCTGAGAGGAGAATGGAGGAGAAGTGATTG